GTCCACTCTTATGTTTGCACCTTCACCGGGGCCACCGTGCAGCCATGTCCCGAGCCACGGTGTGCCGGCTGCAGCACAGCAGGGCCCTCCGCTGCTCCGATCAGCTGGGACCCGGGGCTGGGTTCCCCCCTTTGCTCCTGTGAACTGCAGGGCCCTTGGAGGGCTGATGGGTAGGTGAATGCTTTCTTCTTCAGCAATGGGAGAGTCACTACAGAGAAGAGGCCACAGGCCCCAGCCACGAAGCGTGTTATTATCTGTGGTTGGCTTCCCTCTGGGTTGTCGTGGAACCAGGCTCCACCCCTGAGCTGCCCTGCGGCTGCTCTGTGCCCGGAGCCTGAACTGGGCCCTGGGACCCCGCCTTCCTCTCTGCGCCTGCCTAGCTGCCCCACCCTCCTCCCCCTGCTCCAGGGAGCTTCCATCTTGAGAAGCTCTTGCTCTTCCACCAGTGGGCATTTCCTTGGCTGCAAATGCACATTCCCCCCGCTCACCCGTACCCTCCGCCACCCAGCTCTGGGCCTTGCCCACCCGTGGATTCTTACGGTGAGATCACCTGGGGCTGAACCCTCCCTGCGCCCCACTCCATGGCACCCCAGTTCCCAAGTCTAGCCGCCCGTTTTCAGCCTCCCCTCTCTGCTGCTGCCCCTGTCCATGCAAGGGGTGGTTTGGCCCGCTGGCTGGATCTTCCATCCGGGTCTCTCTCTGCGTCACCTGCCTGGCCCCAGGGCTGGTTGGCAGTGACTCCAAACATCGTCATCGTTTCTGCCCTCCCACATGGGTCACTGGCCAGGCATGCATTTATTAATATTAAACTGTACTTGTTTTCCCAGAAATTCCTCTACTGGGCCATGTTTTGTTTTTATGTATTTGCCTGCTTTTGATTTGTTGTTATTTCATTGAGCATTTTGTCTCCCTAGTCGGGAGTGAGGACTTGACCCTCCTTCTCCCTGGTAACCTCGGCACAGGTCCTCCAGCTCTGACAGCACAGTCGGGAGAGGTCACCTTTCCTTTCCCGTTGCTCTGGAATGTGTGTCTGGGCTGGACATCCCCTGTTCCCTCAGAGAGTCAGATGTCTGCACCGCAGGCCAGGTAGCAGACAGCTGGCCCACTTGGGGGGCCTTCTCCCAGGTAATTGCTCTACCCCTGCTGGCCTCACTGAGGAATTTTGGTAATTAATACTTTCCTGGAAAATCCACCCCTTTCCTAGAAGTTTCTATGTTATCTTACTTTCAATTTTCAGGACAGCAGTCTCTGAGGCCATTCACCTTGCTTGTCCCTGTCATGCGTTCTAGCTGAGGGGGTGCCCCGCTGGCCAGTTGCGGGGACCAGAGCAGCACAGAGGGAAGACACGGTCTGAGCCATGCAGTGGGGCCCAGAGGAGGAGTCTCAGGGACCTCTGGGTCCTGGCTGGGCAGCTGGGTGGGCAACGGCAGTGACTTGGCAGAGGAGAGCCTGCGAGAGGAGGGACGGGCCATGGGAGGAGGTGGAGCGGGAACCCCATCCCGAGGCCACCCCCTAGGCCAGCAGGGATAAGGGACTGAATTGAGGCTCCTTTGCCCCAGCGGGTGACCCCTCTTGGGAGGGCACATGCAGTGTCCAGCTCTCCACGGGGACTCATAAGGGTGGGCTTACTGAGCTGAGCGTACAAGCTGGCTGTCTGGGGCCAGGAGAGAAGCAGGTCCTTCTCATCATGAGCAGGGCCCCAAGTCGGGAGTAGAAGTGGGGCTCCTGTGCCTGGGGCGCCAACTTGCAAAAGGCTCCAAGGGCCCCAGAACTAAGTACCCTTTCTACTCCTTCACCTGCACAATTTTACCTTCACTAAGTCCTGCAAGACTCAGGACCAGGGCAGAATTCTTGGACCCCTGCCAGAGCTCTGGGCTGGAACCTGTTGGGGGGAGAGCAGGCCCTCCGTTCTGCTGTGAGGGGCCTTGTGTGAGCACGTGTGGAGCCCTCCTGCCCTCACCAAGCCCCCCTTGTGTCCCAGTTCCCTTCACACCACCTGTAAGAGCCACTGGTGCAGAGACAGACACAGGGCAGAGGCCTGTGCAGGCCTGGAGTTGGGACCAACAGGGCAGGAAATTCCTGTGCCCCAAGCACCCGGAGTGGGGTCTGGAAGGGGCTGGGTGGGCTCAGCCTGAGGCCTGCAGCCCCCTCGCCACATGGAAAGGGCTGGATTGGACCAGAGCAGGGCCCTCCAAAGCGTGGGTTCCTGACCCCTCTCTCCAGTAGGAAGGGACAGTCCCAGCGCGGCGCACAACAGATCAAGGAAACACACCAATAGCCCTTGGGTTTTGTTTATTTTTCAATAAACAAAATTTTTTGCATGTCTGGTTTAGTAAACGGGAAAGCTAAAAAGAACGTCATAGACATTTCTGAAATATTTTGGTTACAGAAAGATTAGTCCTTCTCCCCTCTCAGTTTTGGGACCAAATTGGTGATCATGTCTTAGACAGCTGTCTTTGAGCTTCTCCGTTTATATCGTAAACTACACACTACTCCAAACACACACGAGGTGTGGATGGGCAGTCAGAAGTCCCAACACTCTCAGCAGAATCTGGTTACCCCATAGAGGATGGAATGGACCATTTCTGCATGACGTGAAGACCGTGCCAAGGCTGCTGACACTGTTCTGATCTCGAGGGATGTGTGCAGGTGGGCGCTGTGGAATTTGGGTGGGGGCGGCCTCATCAGGTGCTGGTAATAGAGAATTTGTCACGTGGGAAGGTAAGATGGCCAGGCTGTTCGGGAGGCGTCTGCTCGGGACTCTCCTCTCCCACGGCATTTTACCTGCACTGCGAGTGGCTTCTTGGGCACACCTGCGTGTCCACTCCCCTCCCAGACTGCCCCCTCGTCCTGCGTGCCCCGCAGCTCCCCGCACACTGCCTTGCACTCAGCAGGTGCTTGAAATGCTTTCTGATCGATGGATGGTGGATGAATCAATGGATCGATCGATGAAGAGTTGATAAGAATAAATACATAGTGGGATTTTTTTCCCCTTGTCACTGGGGCTGTTCTCTGCAGCACAGAGGTGAAAAGTGGAGCAGGAACTTGATCATTGGGCCCAATCTTAGAATTTGCGTTTGGGAAACAGGATCAGAACCGTTAGCAGACTCCATCAAGGTCTCACGCGAGAGAGGCCAGGCGGGTGCCAGACGCCCGCCTGACACATGCCAACAGGTCTTTTTTTTTTTTTTTGTCTTTTTTAAAGTTTTATTTCTTAAAACGAACTCAAAATGAGATGAGATGATGATTCCAGTCATTTGTGGGGTAGGATTACCAGGGGTGAGGGTTATCAGAGAGTGAGGGAGGGGAGCCAGGGGTGAGGGGGAGGGAGGGAGGGTGGTGGGGGACAGCAGGAACTGGAGTGAGAGGGGGCTTGGCCGTGGGGACATGGTGGAGAGCAAAGGTGACAGGTTTTGGGGATTGAGGGTCAACTGTGGGTAGGGGGCAGGGTGGAAAGGAGCTCTGGTGAGGATGGTAAAGGACAGGGAGTGAGGGGCACAGTGGCTTTGGGTGGGGGCATTGGAGGGATGGGGGCGGTGGTCCAGTGGCTGAGGGGTGATGAGTTCCATGGTTGTGCGACAACGGTGACGCATGTCCGTGTGTGGGGGGTGATTTGAATGGCCAGGATGATGGTGGTGGTGATGACCAGGAAATACTTGGAGCAAAAGGTAAACACAGCAGGCAATACTCAATAAAGCTAAGAATATAGATTCCTATCTAAATAATTGAAGAAGCAAAATATTCCTAACGGGTACCTAAGGGCTGTTTATCTGCCCAGCCCCTGGGGCTGGAAAGCTAAACAGAGCTCCGTCCCATTTCCTTCTATTTTTGCAAAAAAGATAGATGTTCTTCTTTTTAAAAAATTCAAATTCGTAATCCAAAAGCTGGCTAGCTGTTTTAGGATCTGAGGGTTATTAACTCAGCAACACAAATGAAATCCATGGCTGTGTAGGCCACATCTGGTACCACTTTGGCCACAGGAAAACACCCCACAATCAATAATTTCCACTGAACCCTGTGAAAACCTTGGTGAGGGCTGTGTTGCTACTCAGATTTTGCCAGGGGCACTTGCGGTTCAAGGTGCATTTCAATTCCAAGGGACACCTCTAATCTATAGGGTAGGAGGCAGGTAGAGCGCTGGGGCTCTGGGTGGGTGAGTAGGGGGCAGCCTAAGTGGCACCCCCAACTGTACCTTGTGACTCAAAACGGCCAACTATTTCCAAATGGAAAGAGGGCCAGGATCCCCACTTTGAGAACTGCAGTTTGGGTCGATCTCAACATGTCAAGTGTGCATCCAGGATAGGCCAAACCTGTGGATCCCAGGATGAGACTCGGTCTTCATCAGATCCTAATCGTTAGGGTCAGGAGCTGTTTTGATTCATACCCCCTCGTTCCTAAGTCACAATTTTATTAGAGCAGAGAGGACCTTGCTGATCATGGTGTTCCAGCCCCTCCCTGGAGAGGGGCAAGAAGGTCAGCCCGGGGCGGGAAGGGGACTTGCCAAGGGTCACACAGCGAGTTAGTGGCAGGGCCAAGACGAGGTCCTGGCCCCCCAGCAGTCAACCCGGGGCTCTCTCTGCCTGACACACGGCCGCTGACTCTGCAAAATCCCAAATCATCAGAAAGATCTAAGGGCTGCGGCGTCGAGCTTGATGGGAGTGCGAGTCGGATGTGGCGCGTGAGGATTACCGAACGAAAGAGATTTTTTGGTTGTCACAGTGGCTGGTCATGCACAGCACTCATGACGGTTTCACGAGGACCCTGTGGCCGAGACCCCTCAGAGAGGGGTGTCGGCGCCGAGCCCTGGTTGTGTTGCCTTGTTTTTTTTTGGTATTTTTTTGATTTTACGTTAAGTTTTGAGTTTAGAATAACATACTTATTTCTTTTGCTTGTTTAAAGATGAAATCGTTCTTATTATTTTTTATCATGCATTAATAGAGAGGAAGAGGATTCTTTAAGCATTGCATTTGTCACTCGGCAACACAGATAATAAATGTAAGCACAGCGTTCACCAGAGTCGACACAAAAGATAGCAAGCTCCACCACAAAGACTAGAACAGACCGCTTATAGTGAGCTCTGCGGGACCCCGAGACTAGAGAGGGGCCGGTGGGGACGCTGCTCAGATGCCGGGGGCGCCAGCCTCCCTGCTGAAGGTGGTCATGTCGATCTTCTCGGGGAGGATGATGTTGACGGCCAGGTCCTCGCCGCTGTTGTACTGCAGAAGCAGCTTCTTCTTCTTGCGCAGCATGTGGTTGTAGCGCAGGTTGGACACCCAGGCCTCGCACTTGTTCAGGAAGACAATGCCCATGGTGCCCAGCACCACCAGACTGGTGAGCACGCCCAGGATGGTGAAGCAGACGGCCTGGCCCTCGGAGAGGAGGGGGGTGCTCTTGTTGAGCTCCTTCATTGACACCTTGAGGACACGGTGCTCCGGCTGCGCTACTGGCAGCTCATGCACCCCGGGGGTCAGGCGGTAGGTCAGCCCATACCCGCTGGGCAGACGGGTGACCTGCTGGGGGCCCACCACACGCTTCCTGCCACAGGTGGGGCCGGTGAACTCGGGCTTGCACAGACACTCGTACCTCACCTGGGTGTGCTGCAGGCAACTGCCCCCATTCAGGCATGGCTCAGTGGCGCAGGTGGTCACTGGGCGGCTGCACGTCTTGTCCATGAAGCCGGCTGGGCACCGGCAGCGGAAATCACCCCCGATGTCAGTGCAGATACCCTGGTTCTCGCACGGGTTGGGGATACAGCTGTTGGTCACGACCTCACAGAAATTGCCTGAGAAGCCAGGGGGGCACAGGCAGGAGGCATGGGAGGCTCGGCCCTCATCGTCCACGCAGGTGCCTCCGTGCTGGCAGGGGGATCTGCAACACAAGGGGGGGACATGGCAGAGGGACCTCGGGGGCTGGACCGTGATAGCGGTGGTGGGGGAGGGAGGAGGCAGGTGCTCAGGGCACATGAGGTGAGTGAGTGGATGCCAGCCAGGGGCCCAGGGAGGTGCCGGGCACGGTTACCCTGCTGGCAAGTGGCTCACGGGCTGTCCGAGGTGGGGTGCATGCCCATATGGGTGAACACCTCACCCTATCACTGCCAGTTGGAACCACGCCTGGTCCCCCAAGCCAGAATGCCCTCCTTCACCCCACCTCTCATGCCATCTCTCTGACCAAACACATGATGATGAGTCACTGGGTAGGTGGGGAGACTGAGGCTGAGGGGAGGCATGGTCAGCACCATCCCAAGCCTGGAGCAAGCCCCTCACCCTAGCTCTGGCCCTGGCCCGCCGAGGCAGAGCCAGGCAGGACCCCACTCTCTCCCACCACAGCCACTGCACCTCCCATTCTTACTTTTATTTGTATTTCTGACGGAGTGAGCCTAAAGGCTATTGTACAGGAAACCCTTGGGGAGCCTCAGAGTGAAAGAGACAGGCAGTTTGTCTCTGCTGCCTCGAGCCAGTGTCTGTGCCCGGCTCTTTAACAGTGGCCCATTCACCCAAGTGCAGCCTGTAGACGGAAGCTGTTTGCTCAAAGCGGAGCACACGGAGCATTTAATGTAAGTGCTTTTAAATGAGCAGACCCTTTGTCATCTGATAAATGCCAAAACTCCAGGGAAGAAAGGGGCTCTAAGCACAAGAAATCAGCATTACTGCTTTAGGGATAAGGGCTGCACTGGTGGTGGGCTCCGAAGGAATCTCGAGGGCCTGGGGCTGTATTTTGACAGACTGGTTCAAGTTGGTTGGAGAGAAAAGCAAAATACTTTAAAGGTCTTGCTCTGTATTTTCCCTTCCCGCTAATAAGCAGAAATGGAGTGTGGTTGTCCCGTCCTCTCCTTTGACCCTGGAATGGGGACCTACAGATGCCGCACAAAGGCCTGCTTGCAGCACCGGCCAGCCCCCAGGTTCTCTGCACCCCCCAGATACTGGGTCAAGGTAACTTGTTTTGCATTTTAGCTTCTGTTTCCTAGGAGGCAAGGGGCACCCCCACCTCCAGCGGCTGGCCCAGGCCTGGCTTCTAGTCTACATTGTCGCCTCAGTCAAACCTCTCCTGGCCTCTGCATCAGCCTCATGGGAGGGAGGGCTGGGCAGGCTCAGGGCAGCAAGGCAGAGAAAGGCTGAACTGGCTGAGCTGCTGGAAAGCTCTGCCAGGGAGATGCAGGAGAGGTGAGTGAGTGGCCACTGTCCTGTGATGGCCACTGTCCCAGAGCTCCGTCCCCACCGAGGGCAGCTGAGAGCTGGTCCTCATGTCCTGGGACCCATCACCGCCCCATGCCAGCCTCAGCCCTCTCTCTCCACCTCCTAAGACGTCCCAGAAGACCCAAGTGCAGAGCCCGCCACTTCCCCAAACCACCCCCCACCGTCCAGTGAGTGGGTTGCACTGACAGCCTGGGGCCCTGCTGCACTCTTACTACGTTGCCATTAGGAAATGATGTAGCCCTGAGCTCCAGTCACAGTCCAGATCTCGTCATTCACACCATCAGGACTTGGGGACGGCAGGGGAATATGAAATCATCTTCAGGATCATTTGAAAAAACGATGGAAATGACACATTCCCCATAAATACACTGATCCAGGGCAGCCCCCCACAGGGCTGTGGGAGGAGCGCTTACTGGGCCTTTTGTCAGGCGATGGGTCCTACTGGGCTGGGCTGAAAGGGTCTTTACAGGGTGTGAGGCAGGAATCAGAGCGGATTCATCAGATCACACGTGAACACTCACCCATTGATCACGCAGGGCCCATCCTTGTTCTCACAGCCCTTGCCCGAGAACCCAAGGGTGCAGGAGCACTCGTAGCCGCCAGTGTCCAGGTTTACGCAGGTGCCGTTGTTAGCACAGGGGGTCGAGGCGCAAGCCCGGACGTCTGGGGTTGGGAGAGAACACGGGAGCTTGTCACCCCCTCCCCCAGGGAAGGGGGACAGAGGCTGCATGGAGAGCGTCTTGAGGGGGGCAGGGAGTGACCCCTTGGATGGTCAAGCGGGGACCCCAAGTAAGATGCCTGGATGTCTCTGTTTGTGGCCACTGCCAGTGGTCACCAAGTGGGGTCCTGAGGAAGAGGGCATAGTGAGCTCCCAAAACCAACAAGTGAGCAAACAGCTCTGGATGCTGAAGGGGCTTCCTCGTGGTGGGTCACGGAGACAGAAAGTCCTGGCCACTCCCAATACTCAGTTTAGGACAGCTGGACCCTCTTCCCGGCACCAGGTTACCCCTTACATCCAGCAGCACGACCTTCCTCCCCCAAACCGTGTGCTGAGCTGAGAGTCCCCAGCCCCTACTCCAGGAGTCGCCACATCCAGCTCCTCATGGCGCGGGGGACCTGCTACTTGGGGGACTAGTGCAGCCCAGCTGTTAGAAACAGCAGCTGCCCTTCATATTTTTCCATTAAAGAGGGGCGGGGAGGGAATCAAGAAGCCTGATTCAGCCCCAGCGCTGCCTCCACCTCCTGGGGGTCTCTCTGCTCTACGGTTCCGAGCTAAGGGGGTCCACGATAAAAAGGCTGCATCTTTTGAAGGCAGCAAAATTACAGCTATTGAGCGCTCCCCCGTCAACGTGGGTTTCCATGATCACTGACATATCTCCACCGCCTTTTTACACCTCCCATCATGCACACTTCATTATTCGGGACTCAGCAAACCAGGATGAGCTGAACAAAGCGCCCGGGTCAGGTTCTCTGATAGTGGAGACCCCAGCCCCCTGGAGGGGCCAGGGGGGACCTTGTCTAGGCTCAGCTCTGCCCCACTCTGCCTCACATTCCCCACTTGTAAAAAGAGGGTTCACCCCTGCCAGCCATGCTCTGAGGGACCCTTTAGCTTTGGTGTTCTACGATTCAGGCTGTCTAACAGAGAGCAAGGGACGAGAGACACAGCAAGTGAAGGCAGGCTGGGGAGGGGGTCCCCAGTGCTGAGCCCACAGGAGCAGATTTTTTTCCATCTCTTAAAGGGACCCATGCCCGTGTGAAGGGGAGACGGCAATCGGTCACTAAAGAAAACTCCGCACTCCATGCTGACGGTCTATCCAGAGCCCACGAGGCACTCCTTGGGAGCCCGGCTTGGCTCAAGGAAACATAAAGAGGATTTATCATGATGGGAAGGCACCAGATGAGCGCTGGCACGTGGAGCCTCCGCCACAGGCTCCTAATTCTCTGCTCGCAGCACTGCTGTCACTGGGAACCTTAAATTTCAGCTGAAGAGCGGGCGACCACCCGCTCCTCTCCCAGAGGTGTCAAGCCTCACGAGCTGAGGATCAGCCTACCTTTTCCCTGAGTCTCCAGCCCAAGAGTCAGGAGATAAAGCCGCTGCAGGGAGAAAGCGGCTGGGGTCTGTGCTGGGGCAGCAGCTGTGGCCTTGACAGCCTCAAAGACAGGCAAAAAAGGAGAGGGCCATCAAATACCTAGAGGGCTATTTCCTCAGGACCCTGCTGTCCCAGGCTGGGAGCCTTTGTCAACCCAGTGGGGAAGGACCCTTTGTCTGGAAAACTCCACGGGGGAGTTCTGGGTTTAATACCAAAGAGGGTGGGCTCCAGGCTGAAATCCCCATCCCAAACAATGGCTTTCTGGGATCCCCTGCGTCCCCAAGCAGCTGAGAGGTTCTGCGAGGGTGCCATGCTGAGGGGCAGGCATGCTGCTAGCCAGAGCATGACTCAGCTGCAGGCAAAAGCCTGCACCAAGGGTTGGGCAGGGTGCATTTAAGGACCCAAGACAAGGTGGGGGGCTCCATTTGAAATGCTGTTGCCTTGGCTTTACGGAGCAGGGCAATAACAACATGCTCTTAGGTTTTCCTTAAGGGAAGGTGTCAGAAAGAGCCACAGATGAGAATTCACCCATTTCTGGGGCTGGGGGTGGGGGTGGGCAGTTCAGCTGGCTTTAGTGTGTTCCTGAGCAGACACTTTTGCTTCCCTGAGCCTCACTTTCCCTATTGGTACCATTGTTTTCTGCTAATGTTGGGGACAGAGGCCCTGCGGTAGCTGTGTACACTGCCAGGCGTTTTTTCGAGGACTTTAATTTGCCCCAGCTTCAGGGCAGGTTTTTCCAAGTAAGAATGGGCTCAGATGAATGTTTTGCAGCCTGAAATTGACGCACAGCGGACTCTCAATCTCTCAGAGTAATGGAGGACAAAGATCGCATAAATTAATGAAATCAACAGATAACACCCATGTGCACTTAAACCGCCTCTCAGCCTCTCCTGATCCTCAACCTCCTCCCACCTCCCCTGACCCCTGCAGTCACAGACTCCAGCCATGCCCTAGTGGCCCTGACTCGGCTGTACCCGCCACCCCACCGCCATCACTCAGTACCTGTGCCCTCCACCATTTGTTTCCTCCCTCTCTGCAGCCTCCTTCACAGTCTCTAGTGTGAATTTCTTGGCATCTTAGCTCTGAAACCCCGAGTCCTTTCCCTTCTCTGAGCCTCAGTAACCTGGTCCAGTTACCTGGGCCTGTGGTCCCCACCCTCTCAGCTTTGTGTGGCCTGTGTTTATTTTGTGACTCTTCATTCAACAGGCAGCTCCCAGCCACCCCCACCCTTGGTGCCCTCTCTGTCTTGTCTCCGGTGCTGGCTGCTGGCTGCTGGCCGTGCAGAGGGGAGTCCCTACCTGTGAGCCAGCTCAGAGCACCAGTGCGAAGTGTATAAACAGACCACTGCCATACAGAGCGCAGGCTGTGTTGGAATAAGGGTGGGCAGGGGGAGGAAGCCACTAGGAGGCAGAGGGGCAGGCGGTGGGCAAGTGTGCGCACCAACCTATGTCACAGAGGTTCCCGTCCCAGCCGTCATCACAGATGCACTGCCAGGGTTCCACACAGAGTCCATGAACACAGCCAGGAAAGGTCACACACTGGTCACATAGGGGACCCTGCCAGCCAGGCTGGCATCTGCGGGGGAGGTGAGGGATGGAGAAAGAATGGGACATATGAGTGGGGGCAGGGGCAGAGAGGGAGCTCAGGCTGCTTTCTGTGGAACCAAGAGCCCCTGGGGGTCTTTGCACAGTGCCAGGCCCAGTGGGTCTCAGGAAGCAAATACCAGGCACCTGAATGGAAAAACTTAAGCAGGACAGCTGAGGAGCAGACAGAGGGGTCCCTGACAGAGCAGGGCGGTGCGTCGTTTTGCTGCAATGATCTGCAGTGGTCTCGCCCTCCGTCCTCCTCTCCGCCCACCCACCAGTGCCCTGCGGGGTGAGGAAACTGCTGCAGCCCAGTGGCCAAACCCTCACTTTTCCCTGCCTGACACTGTGACTCCCCAAAATTCTGCCCTGGCCCCCACAAACTGCCTCTAGGGAGCCACTCCATTACCTGCATACATTGTTGTCCTGGCAGAATCCATTTTGGGGGTGGCAGGCCGGGAAGCATTCAACTCCTGAGGCACAAGAAAGGTTACACAATTCACCCCACAAGGCCCCACAACCAAGGCAAGGCCCATCTTCCCCCAAACAGCCCCTGGCCTCCCTGGAGGGAGCCTAGGACCCTCTGTGGTCCAACTAGCCTGGCACACAGTAGGCACTTTATATCAGCCCACTCAGGAAAACACTCTCTGCTGCGTTCCTGGTTACAGAGTGACCACAGTACACTGACTCGTTCCTAGCAGGCCAGACACCTCGTTTCCTCCAAAGAAAACACCAAAACTGAAATCCTAAAAGCTGGGATGGGGATTCAGTGAATGGGAAATTTGACCCCTGGGCACTCAGCCAAACCCTCACTTTTGCCAAGTGAGCTAAAAGGGGAGCAGATTTTGAGGCATTCCTCTCTGGGAAAGCCCCGGCAGGTTCACCTGGCAGGCTCACAGGTTAGGGGTCTGGATTTTTTTTAAAGGTTAATCCCAGTTACGTCAGGCACCCAGGGTAAATTCCCCAGTCCCCCTGCCCCTGACTCTTCATATCCAAAGATCACGCAGGAGTTTTACAGAGGGGCTGCCATTCTGACACGATTTAGGAATTCTAATGCTCCAATAGGCACCTACTATGTGCATTTACTTCAACTGGCTCTCCAGCTTTCCAGACAGCCCCCACCCCATGAGCACTGGTGCAGTGAAGGCGGCTGGCACTGCGGGAAGGGGGCCACTCTCGCTGTCAGAGACAGATGGCCGCTGCAGACAGAAGTGTCGCAGCCCCTCACCTAGAGAAACGCCACGCGGGAGGGGCTCCGGCTGGGCTCTTGGTTGGAAATTTGGGGCTACGACGGTAGTCACCCCCGCTGTCCCCACAGACTTGTTCCCGAACGCGCACGCGGGGACACCCCAAAGTTGCACCCTGAAGCATTTCCACAGAGGGCTCCCCAGCATCACCTCGATCCTCCATACCTCCGCTCTCGCGCACCGACACCCCCGAGAGCACCACTTCTGCGGGCGTAAAGGGCCTGGGGGGTCCCACACCAGCCCTGCCCCTCCCCCCGGGACCCCAGGGCCATGCTTGGCATGCAAGGGTGGCGGGTAGGGCGAGGCAGGCACCGCGCGGGGCTTAGGGTTAGGCGGGACGGGCGGGAGTTGGGGCGCACGGGACGGAGCGCGCGGGGCACCGGGCGGCCGGGGGACATCGCAGGCTTCCCCAGAGGGGGCGCGAGCCGGGCCGCCAGGGGTCTCACCATGGGCACTGCGGCCGCAGGCCAGCAGGAGCGAGAGGACGGGCAGGAGGGCTGCGGTCGCGGTCATCGCGGGGCGGCCGGGGTCGCGGTCCCGGGAGCGGCGCTGGCGCGGGTCCGGCTCCGGGCGCCGCGCTGGGCTTCTGGTTGCGGACGCGGAAGGGGGCGCGGGCGCGCGGCGAGGGGAAAGCCAGGGCTGCACCGGGCTGCGCGCTGCGCCCTCCGCCGCCGCCGCCGCCGCCGCCGCCGCCGAGCTGCCGCCGCCGCCGCGCGCGCCGCCCTTTTCGTACCGCCGCCCCCCCGCGGCCCCCGCCCCCCGCCCCCGCCTCCGCGCGCACTGGGCCGGCGCCGGCCAGTCCCGGTGACCCCCGCCCCTCTCGGGGCCGCCCCCCACCACTGCGGCGTCCCGGAAACCCGCTCGCGCACGCGGGGCACTCTTGGCTAGACGGGCGCAGGTACCCCGCGCGCGCTGAGCACCCGTTCCCCACACAGGACGGCCCACGGGCGCAGACACGCGGGCTCGCCTCGCACAAGTCGTATGAGCCGAGCCTGGGCTGGGCCGCAGACCCCAGGAAGACGCAAGCACACACGCTCAGAATACAGAAACGCGCACAGAAACACCAACACACTTATCACCAAGGTCCCAAGCACAAAGGCCATGCTTCCTGCACCCAGGAATACACAGATGTACACTCTTAGGAGGTGGAACACGCACGCAGTTACGCACCTAGGAAAAGCCTGATGTGCCCCTACTCGGGGACACAAAGAGGCAGGAAAACACAGACACACTTGGAGCAACACACACACTGTAACACAAACGCAGGTCACAGAAATAGTCAAGAGTGCCACATGCTCAGTCACAGGCACACAGAGAGGCCGTGGACATACAGTTATGAAACCCTGGGCATCCTTCAGCATGGGCCTGCCTGGCCACGCAGAGGCACGTGCAGAGCCACGTGCACACCTGGACATGGGAGCACATTTGTAAACACAGTGACACTGGAGCACATGTGCGGTCACATATACTCACACAGCCCCCCTACCCTGACCCTGAGCCATCGTTCCCTACCTGGCTCCTTTCCCACTACTACCTTGCCCAGTTTTGGAAAGGGAGGGAGCCCTGGGGAGGGCAGTCTCACCCAAGGGCTTCTGTGTCTAACTGTCACTGGCTTAGGCTAAGAGGGTCCCTTGGCTGACTGGTGATCCCAGCTTCATGCTGAGATCCCAGAGTCATGCTGAGGCTTAAGGCACCAACTTACACACACGTATGTGCAGCCACATGCCTGATATTCACAAGCACACATACCCAGTCCCCAACATCACAAAGCCCAAGCTCTTGGCTGCATGCTCACCAAAGCACACTTACAGAGCCACCCAACACACACATGGCCAATCACATCCACCTTTGCCCAGAGACACACGTGGACAAGCTCACCAATATGCAGGTGAACACCAGGCACTGAGCACATAGTTCAGACCCACTGGGAGGTCTCCAGCCAGGGGTCACGGTTGGTGTGGGGGTAGGGGTGCCAACGCTATCAGAGACCCTCCCTCCTTCCTAGGAAAGGCCCCCAGTTTGGGCTTAGAGCCCTACACTCTGCTGGGCAGCCTCTCCCAACCCTGTCTGGATGAGGAAGGTTCAGGAAAATGGAAAAGGAGTAGACAGGCCAGGGGGGGGCCGTGGAAGAGGATGGAAGGTGTTTAACCTCCTGGGGTAGGGTACCAGGAGGTCATGACCTTCAGATAAGTCATTTGTGTATGTTTCATTTGCTTATGCTAGTTTTCATGGAGCTCTCCAGTGCCCACCCATTTCAGGCACTCCCCTTTCCTACAGATCCAGGGATGGGAGAGGTTAATCTCTGCTACTTTGAAACTGGGGTGGGGACCTGGCAGGTCTGAGGACACACTTGCTGTGCTTGGGATGGCTGTGGGAAGTTAGGCCAGGGGGATCTCCCAGGCATGCCAACCCTAAGGCCTGAAGTCTGTGCTCGGGAGGACAGAAGGCAGCTTAGGGAGGGCACATGACCCAGGCAGAAAACTGGCTGCGTGGTGCTGCTCCATGGGGGCTGAAGGGAGGTCCCACGCCCTTGTGGCAGGCATCCCTTCCTTGGCATTCCCTGCAGAAGGCCCGGTTCGGGGGGTGCAGTGTTGGGAATGGCTTTGGCTGACCAGCTGGAGGGAGCAGTCACTCAGCAGCTGCCCCTGACCAGGTGTCCTCCCCATGCCCCTGCCTTCCTGTTCGTCACCCCACTCTCTTCCACAGACTCTTTTCTCAAGGAAGAAACCAAGGCGGGAGATGGGAGGTCTTTTCCCAAGGCCCCCAGGGTATGGGAGCAGCTGGCAGGCCCAGGCCTGGACGTTGGACTGCCCATGGCACGGAGACTGCCACAGCTTCCCTGAGCCCTGCTGCTTTTCTCTCCAAGGGCCCTGACCTCAGCCTCCAAAATTATCCAAAGCAGCAGGCAGATTGGAAAGGGCTGGGTTCTCAGCCAGACACCACAGAGGGACGGAGGATCTCGGGGCTGAGCAGCTGCGGTGAGGGCCACCACCCAGGCAAGTCACAGAGTGTGGTATGGACTGTGTGGAGCACCAGGGGCTGTGGTGGCCATCGAGTGCACCCCGTTTCTAGACCCCACCATTCCCTACCTGGCTCCTTTCCCACTACTGCCTTGCCCAGTTTTGGAAAGGGGGGAAGGCCTGGGGAGGGCAGTCTCACCCAAGGGCCTCCGTGTCTGTCACTGGCTTAGGCTGAGAGGGTCCCTTGGCTGGCTGCTGATCCCAGCTTCATTCCCTGACTGCTGAGGGCACTAGGCTAGTCACTTCCCCCTCTGAGCCCAATTTCTTTGTCTATAAACAGGGATGCCACACCTGTCCCCAAAGGGAACTTGGGGTTTTCATAAGTAGAAACCCCTCTACTTACAAGGCCTGGCCCCTTCCTGCCCTTCCTCCAACAGCTGCCACCAGGTCTCCGCCCCAGTAGGCTAAAGCGAGCTGGGGGTGAGGGCTGGGTCCTGCCAATGGACCCTCTTTGAGAGCCCCGTGCAGGACTGCTGTGGGGAGGGGGCCTGCCCACCAGCAGGACCTATAAGCCTGGGGACTTCTGTTTGTTCTAGTCTCAATACAGTGTCTGTAATTCAGGAGCCTGGAGGTTTCTTTTCAGCCAGCAGTCCCTGGGAGAGGGGAGCTTAGGAGCGGTGGGGCAGGGAGGTTGGTGACTATCACTGTCTTCTTCACAGAACGCATGAAAATGCCAACTGGGTCCCTTGGGGATAAGTCAGCACAGTTTGCAGTTTACAAGCAGACCCTGGGGCTGGCTGGGGCGAGCAGGGCTGGAGGAGTCAGGAAGGCCCCCTTCTCTACCTGGGAGCCCTCCCCTCCCCTCTCCTTCCCACCCCCACCCTTGTCTCCAAAGTGTAGGCTCCTGGGACCACAGAGGAGGCTGGTAGGTCAGGGGCTACTTGGCCCTGTGGCCTTGGGGACACGCGCTTGGCCCCCTGGCATCACAGCAGGGCTCGGCAGGTGTGCGCAGGTAGCAGGGGCTAGACTTGCCGAGGGTGGGGCTGGATTGGAACGCAGGGCCTGGGCTCCAGCTGGCTCCTTGCTCTGCCACATCTCACGGCTCTGCCAGTGGCCCCAGCCAGCAGTGAGCAGGAAGAAAGGTGGTCTCTGTTCCCTCTGCCCGGAGGCCAGCCTCTTGGGCCCCACTCTGCACGCAGCACAGGAGCTGGAGATGGGCGCACCTTTTCTGAGGGGACCAAAGAAATGTTTTCGCAGCTCCTTCCCCTCCCCATTCCAAACACTGCTGCAGCCACACCAGATGCTTTGCCCCTGATTGAAGACAGGGCCACTGATGAGGAAAGCCCAGCAGGGTCCAGCTGGAGGGGCCTCTGAGACCAGCTATTCCTGGGTGTGCACAGAGGGGGGCCAGGCAGCTGGGGGGCTTTACCCCCACCTAATGTGCTTCTCTGCACCAATCCCCCACCAGCTGAGAGTCTCCAAGCAGGAGGCTCTGTTCTTGCCCAGACTGGACCATGGCTTTGGGAGGTGTCTGCCCCTGCACCGGTCTCATCCCAGTGGGACATTACAGAGTCAGGAAAACTGAGGCCCAGCAAGGACTCACAGGTGCCTGTGTTTCCTCTTTCCCCTCCCCAACACCGTGCCCTCTCCATCATCCTTCCAAGAGAGGACCAAGCCCCCCAGCCCTCCCTGAGACAGAGCTGCCCCCAGAGGGACTGCCCGATGAACAAGCAGAATCAGTGCCCAGAGACTGAAGGATCCTGGGTCTCCCCACCACGAGGGCAAAGGCTCTGAGTTAGGGGGTTCACAGGCCAGTGGGGGCTGTCTTTTCTGCCTGTCCCTGGCTGCCCCACGGGATTTAAATACCGGTTTAGCCCCGCAGCAGAGGCCATCTCTCAGGGCCTCTCACAGCTGGGCTGAGTGGGGACTGCAAGGCCCATTTCAGAGATGAGTACGCTGAGGCTTGAAGATACCGAGACAGGTGTGTGCGAATGAATGGCAGAGCTGGGATTTGAGGGGAATCTAAAGGGCATCAAGGCACCAGGCCCTCTGCCCAGAGTGGCAGGTGTGAGCAAGGCAAAGAAGAGAGCAGGAAGACCCCAGGGGACCAGGGTCCCTGCTCTCCCCTTGTTGGGTGGGGGCACCACCCAGACACCTTGGGGACCATGAGAGCCTCATGCAAACACCAGAGGTGCACAGCTGTCCTGATACCCATTCATCTCCCAAGCTAAAAGTTCATCTTTGGGGAAAGAAATTTTCTTTTTCTTCTGTCAATGGGAGGGGCCGCCGGGGGTGGAGAATGGAGGGAAATGAGAGGCGCACCCGAGTACATTTAGGCTCGAGAACACACGGTGTGGTTTCAAGTTCAATCAAAGAAGCCTCTTCAATCTGAAGTGGCGTGCGCTCTGCAAGCCGGGTGGAGGACCGGGCTAGGAGGCTCACACTCTGCTCCTGGCCTCGTGCGCCTGGCCTGAAAGGCGCGTGACAGCCCCGCACCCCACCTGGCAGTCCTCACGTGTCCCTGAGCCCCGAGGCAGGCCTGCATGTGCCGCGGGGCGAGAGCGGTGCCCCCAGGCCTGCCACCAGCACCCACCCAAGAGGGAAAAATACAAGAAGACGGGATGAGGCGGGGGCGCGTTGCGTGGACTCCTACTTAGTGTTGAGTCCTGTGGGGCCGCACCTCTCCCCTGAACACAACCAATTTCTTGTCATTGATGGTAGAATTCAA